ATTTGCGGAATTTTATTTTTTATTTTATATCCATCCTCCGCATCTACAGATAGAGCTGTAGTAGTAAGTAGACCCCTCTAAAGAGAGGGTTCGTTTTAAGAAGAGGGCGGTAAGTGCCGTTGCCGAAGTAAAACAAATAAAAATAAATAAAAATCGCGTGTCAGGTCATGCCCCGGGCATTTTGGAGCCCATGAAAAATATGCCCGGCTATCACATAGCCCCTATATGGTGTTTTTTTTTCTCTCTCTCTCTAGGATTTTCCTCTTCTTTGTAGTTGAAGAGGGTTTTGGAATTTATTTCGGCGTTGAATTTTTCAAAAAAGAAGTTCCTTGTCTGGATTGAAGTTATTGATAGCGATTCGCCAGTATGCCTAGCTTCATCAGTTATTTAAGTAGATTGTCCCCTGGACGCTCGAGATGCTATGGTTGGAGTTAACTCTCTACTAGAAGGTGGTTTTTCGCAGTGGAAAAAGGGCATTTTTATCCTCCGGTCGGCCATTTGCACGCCATTTTCACGCCAATCTCGGCCTCTAATCCAATCAAAGCAACACACAAAACGGACGCCTCCAGCAAAAACGATACCTTTTTTTGTGCTCTGCCTTTAATGCCTTTTCGTGTTCAGAAAGGTATTGTCATGTTTCTCTTCTCCCCAACAACAGCGATTCGCGAAATATTTTCCGGATGGGCTCGTATAAATATATTTATTAATATATAGGTAGGTGGATGGTTTCTCTATAAAATCTCTATGACAGCCATTTACTCAAAGTTTCATTATAAGAGAGAAGGCGGTAAATATTTGAGATGGCAGGAAGAAGCAACACCATTTTTTCCCCTTCCTAACGATAAGTAACAGTTTCGAAATAGCACTAAAATGATTTTATTTAACTACACGCTTTTACTTTTATGCAATATTGTCCAATAATGTTATTAGATATTAATATCACTTTCAAATGAACATAAGGAAACTGAGTTTAAAAAATAATTCCATTGAAATCCTCCTATTGAACAAATCTCTTACATTCTTTGATTCTTAACTTAAAAAGGTTGAGAATTTTTTAAAATTTTGCCAAACATGTTCTTCTATTATATGTTTTTCTATCGATGAGCTAAATGACATTTGAGCTTAGAACGTTCTTCCACTTCATGTTTTTATAATGAAGAGCTAAGTGGATAAACATTAAATGACATTTGAGTGAATTTAACTTGGTTAGCTTTGTAGATTGATACATTGATAATAACAAAAACCAAGATTAAGCTTTATACCTATTTCCTTTTCTCAAGCTTTCAATAGGCGTAATCTATAAATTCCTAACACTTATTTAAACTGTTCGCGTCTTAGCGTTCCAATTCTTGACGTTATAATTTGCTACCAAAAGAGAGACTTTCTAAAATTACGTGTTTAATGTTTATGGTCAAATGCACTCAGAACCTTCTTCCACTCCTAGTCGCCTTTTTTTTAATTTTATTTATTTAAAGTGAAAGTAAACTTTGTTAGAGACGGGACAAACTCACTAAACAATAACTATTGTTCTGCTTATTTTTCTTTCATGTAAAGCAAAATCTTACCATTTTTCTTAAAATGAATAATATCTTACGGATAAATATTTTTATGAGTTTAATACTGATGATATATTTTAATGAAAAAATAAAAGTTATCAAAATAAAGCTGCAGTTATAATTATTGAGACTTAAATCAGGATCTAAACTGATCAACTGCCCAAATCAAACCGGGTATCACTTTCATGTAATTGATCCTCGCAATTCATAACTTATTTTCCGTGCTTTTTCCCCCTGGCTTTTTTTCCGAGACTTTAAAAACATGGATATTATTCGCAGTATAATAGAGTATTTTTACAAAAAAAAAGAGAGAAACCAAAAAGAAAAAAAAGAGAGAGAAAAAAAAATAAACTAATATACCAATAAAGAAGTGCATATCTGAAAAATCTTTACACGAGTAAAAATAAAATACATATAGCAAAAACATCATTACCACTTAAATATTAAATTAAATGCTGATAAATATCTGAAAACTTTTTTTAGGTTAATTGATAATTTAGAAATTAACTAATGTTTAGGTTACAGTAAAAAAAGTCAAGACATTTCCATGAAAATAAATATTCATCTCATTATTTTTTGGAATTCAACATTTGTTTTTGAGTTCATAAAAACGAATATACATCGATGGAATTAACAATTCGAAGAAATATTCATTCGATGAAAGCGCAATTAAGTTAGACATTCATGCAGAATCTCACCACAGCAAATTGGCAATAAGAATTGTGAAGTAAAATAACAACGCATCAAATAAGTAAATAATAGAATTATTTTTGTTTAGCTCTTATAACAATTTCAATGTAAATAAAAAAAAAAATTATCGTAATAATGAGGATAATTAACAAGCATAAGGGTTCTTGGAGAGGATTTGAAAAAATTGAGCTGAAACGGCAGATTATATTTGCAATTGATGACAATTACCATAAGAGGTTAAAAAAGTTTAAAAAGATAAATAATCCTTTTCCGGTCTTTAAAAGACCTTAACTCCCTTAAAAAACACTCATTAAAGACGAGGGGAAAAGAAGAAGAAAAAAAAATACCCATCACCCCTCTTCAATCCATCAAAGAGAACACTCATCAAAACAGTCGCAGTTAATTGGATATTAAATGACCACGATCTTTCTGGAATTCTGTCCGCGAGACTGTAAATTTTCCAATTGACGGAACTATCTATTTCGAAGAAGGCCCAGCCACAGAAGAGAAGAGTTTGGGAGATGACATCTCTAGGTTGGGAGACAGTCCTGAAATTTACTGTTTCCCGAAGAGCGTTTCCCAGGAAATGTCTAGCGTTGCTCGTTATATAGCAGCAGATGAGCTTTGGCGTCAATTATCGATGACTTGTCGGTTTTGATTTTTCAAGGACTGATATTTATGGCAGGATGAGAGAGTGATAGTCTGGGAAAGCTATCGTTTCCTCACCTCGTTGGCAACATTTTTTTTTTTTTTTCGAAATGGGCATTTCGTTACTTCATTAACGGTTTGTTTCACTAAATAAGCATTCGTACCTTTGATTTATTGAGCAAAATGAAAGTAAAAGAAAAACTAGAGCTTCGAAAGCAACGTGTCAAGAGTCGGAGTTTTGTTTATTTGTTTGTAAAATAACATGCCGGAAGTTTTGAAGTGGTTTCCACAGTTTGATATTGTGAAGGTTCCATCGCGAAATGCACAGGGGGACATTGAAGGTGTCAAAAATTTTTTTTAGGTGCAGACTGACTTAAAATACACAGCAACGAAAATTAAATAATACATAAAAAAAATTATACATAAAAAGTAATTTAATGAAGAAAATTATTAAGTAAATTAATTAAAAAATTTTATTGTAATTAAAGTAAATTAAGTAAAATTTTCTTAATAAGTAAACTATACACAAAATTTTTTTATTGTAATTAAAATAAATTAAGTAAAATTTTCTTAATAAGTAAACTACACAAAAAAATTTTTATTATATCTGTTAAATATCTACAAAAGGATTACATTTTTTATTACTTTTTACAAGGGCGAATTTAAATCGATAACAATACAAGGAAATTCTCTTTTTTGAAAAATTGAAGGGGATTTAATAATCATTGTTAAGACCATAAAAACCCGTTCCTCCCACTAACGACGTCAAATATATGTTATTGGCAATGTATAAAACGCCAGCTTTTGAATATTTAGGCATTTGATTGAATGTCTGACAAGTAAAAAATAGAATTATTACATACTTAACTCGGGATTGCATATTATACCAGGGCATTCTCTTCAATAAGAAATGCTTTTTAGACAAAGGGTAAAGTAAAAGTTTTTTATTATCTTCATTACAAACAAACAAAAAAACGTTCATTCCTCAAAAATAGAAATGTTGTTTTTTTAAAAAAAAATTATGAGACTGCCATTAAAGAGGCTTATTATATATTGTCGGCAGTGGATGAAATACCAACATCCTTTAAAATGCTTAGGCATTTTATTGAACTCTAATATTCCGGACCATAATTCCGGTAAAAAAAAAGTAACGGCAACCCGAGTGTAGCATCCGTAAAATCTATTTTACCGTAAAACTTTATAATGGAATTTTTATAGTAATATTCATTTAATTTAAAGATTTACCATAAATATTACTGTATAAGAATTACAGAATATCAGATTTTTGTTCCGTAAAATTTCATGATAGAAATTGATTTTACGGTAAAAAATATTGGCAGTCTGAGTGCCTGTATTTTTTTTTATCCTAGTTTGATCCAGAATTCTGTACAGCGTATTTCATATTTTACCGATTTGTCATGGTATTCTATAAAATACTTCGGTAATGAGTGAAATTTTTAATATTTTAGTACCTTACCGGCCAGTTTACAGCATTGCATGTAATATTTAGGTATTCTACCAAATGGCGGATTACGATTTTGTTAGTAATATACCATTAACCAATTTTTTATGAGTATTTTATTCATAAACAATGTAAAGTTTAGTTTTCAATGTTAAGTTTATGATAATTTTTTTAATTTTATTTCGACAAATATCTTAAGAAAACAGGGATTGACTTGCGTAAAAGATTTAATAACGGATTTCAGAGATATTTTTCGGTGAACAAATTTTTTTTTATTTGTAATAAATAAAAAATAAGTGATTTTTAAAAGTTTGTTTAAATCAAGAATTTATATTGGAACCATGCTCTAAGCTTATTTATAGTAGCATACGACGATATTTTTAAATTCAGTATTTAGAAAGTATTTAGTATTCTTCTTATTTATTATAAGAATAAATAAGAAAGAGTCAAATACGTAAATTCATAAACTCAAATATATATTCATAGAACTGATAAATATTTTATACGGAAACTATTAAAAAGAACAAAAAATCTTTTTTTTATACTTTATAATCCTACTTATACTTAAAAATAAATAATTTTTTAGTATAATATATATATACAAAAAAAAGCGAAATATTATTTAAAATTAAAACAATTCTTACCTGTGATGATTCGTCTTTTTCTAATAACTCTCTAATTTTTTCCCGCAACAGTTTGATTGTCACCTCTGGAAAAGATAAGAAATTCTGTTGTAAATATTCTTTATTTCAACGCAATTCATTTAAATAGTACACATGATAATTCTCCTTTCACGGAAATGTCACATTGATTTGTGTCTTACACTATTTGTTTAAGAATGTTGAAGTAGGGGTAAAAATACATTTGTAATTGCAGTCAACAAAATGATTAAAACTCGAAAATTTTCTAAAGATGATAACCCTTTAAAAAAATTATCTTATCATTATTGATAAACTACCAATTCATCGCGTTTATGTGGCTGTTAATACATGAGTAAGGGATTAATTGCCTTTAATGCTTCCTTTCCTGTACCCTTGTCATATTGGTAAACTGGAAAAAAAAAGAGCTCCTTAAAAAAGTACCGGTAAATAAGTACTAAAAAGAGCAGTCCATAATAGCACTAGAAAAATAGCACTTAAAAAGCACCAAAAAGACACCACTTTAACTTTTTTACGAATTTAACTTCCGATTCGATTTGGGCCATTGATAAAGAATTTAAAGTAATTAAATGTTTATTTTAATACGATAAGACATTTTTTAAAAATTAATTAGTGCACAAGGATTAATTAAAAGCTTATAGAAAAGGACTTTTTGCACTTCCTACTATTTAGCAAACTGTTAAAGACGATAAAATTTTCTCATTCGGCTTTGTCTTATTGTGCAGCTCTAAAATTTTTCCAAATTTCAAAAATTACACTTAATATATTGTAATGCAATAATATGCAACTAATACTTTTTTAACTAGTGTTTTGTTTATTGTATTAAAATAATTTTTATTAATGTATTTAACTATCACAAATGTAACCTTTTGAAGACTATTTATTTGCTTATTGATTACATAAAATAATTCTATTGAAAGTATTATATTATTTTATAATAAAAAATTGAAAAAATACTTAAAAAATCTTAAATTTTTTTAATTATTTGCAAACTTCAAAATAAACTTTGTATGTTAATTATTTTTGCTTTAAAAAAGCATCTAATTACTTTCAAATAAATATTTAATTACATTAAATTTGTATTCAACGACCCGAATGAAATCGGCCATTAAATTATTAAAATAGTGCTTTTTCTGGTGCTTTTCTCTGATGTTTTTTTTTTCTTTTCTAGTTTTCTCCGGTTTTTATGGTGATTTTTTTTCGTGTTCGAAATTTTTTCCAAACAGCAAAATATTATATTTCCCTAACAATAAATAAATAAATCGAGAGATGTTTTGTGGATAGTTTCGCTTATTATATTACAATGTTAAGAGTTCTGCCCGTTGGATTCTCAGGATGCAGCGCAATTAAATTGTTGTTGTTGATAACAATAAATTTTAATTTTAACATAATGAAAGAGCATTAAAATTTCTTCAAAAATTAATGAATAAATTTTTCCGAGGTTATGCTTAAGGGAGTTTCTTCGAGGAAAAATAATTCTACATAACTACTATACAATAAAGCATGAGTATATAGATATGTTTACATAAAACTATATAAAGATTTCTCATTTATATCATAATTGTTCCAAAATGAAATAAGAACAAGGACAAATAAGTTATTTCGCATTCGATATGGATAGAATACCATTTACATAGAAATGTACATGGCTGTAAATCAATTGGGAATGAAATAAATTCATCACGTATTAATTAAATAAAAACAGAATTGCTATTAAATACTTCGTTCAGTAAGAAACCAATCCAATGAATAAATATGATTGACAATTCATCTTAATTAGATCAAACGAATGTTGCGGCTCTTCAGCCTATACAGGAAACGAATCATCATTAATATCTCAAATCCCGGATTCTTTGATGAATATTGCATAAAAAACGCATCAGGATGTCTACTACTCAACCCATAGAACGATTTTTGGAAGTAAATATGCATTACATACTTATATATAATGAGTTGTTTTTAATAGGCACACTGGGTGGAAATGTTTTCGAATAAATATTGTCAATTTTACTGTACTGTTTCTAACTCTATGTTGAATTCTAAATTTTAATAATTTTCGCGTCGTATGTATTTCAAATGTATATCGCAATATAAAATAAATCACGTTTCTTAAAACAATGTAATGTTAAAAACCATAAAAAGTTAAATGTGCCATAAATTGTTAAGAATTTTGAAGTGCAAAAATGGAATTCTTATATCTAACACAATTGGTCAACGTTTGAAATTCTAATGACTAGTTATTTTATGAACTGCTACCAGTCCATACCAAAGCACATTTTGAAACATTTAACGGGTAAATAGACCAACAGTTTATTGACATCGGGCTAACTGTAAGAGGTTTTCCGTACCATAAACATCTTAGTTATTCTGGAAGCATATATTGTATTCAGAACAACTAACATTTGGTATCCTAAAGCTGAGTATTTATAATTACGCTTTTTCTTAAATTTTATTTCTTTAAAGATCTTCCTTATGCAATAACTTTGTTTAATTCTTTTATCTTTTTTCGATATAACACATTATTATAAACACATATATTTCATTTTCGATAAAAATAAAATATTCTTTGACTATCTATTTTGGTAGCAGATATCGATGCAATAGTTATTTTAAAACTCGAAACTGATACTAATGCAACATTTATATCAATATAATGTACAATTTACTAGACATATTAAAATAAATAGACTGAACAGGATAAAATATTTCATACATTTTCACGAATAATTTCATTTATGAGAAATCAGTCGCAGCGTTCGATTACAACAACAATTCGATTGATTAAAAAAATTTTCAATCCATTTGAGTAATGAATGGAGGGTAGGAGGAAGGGATGCCCCCGGAAAACCAAACACAGGGGGAGGATGGAGAGGGATTCCAGAGAGAAAAGAGGAGTAGAGATGAAGGAAAAGAACACACATACAAAACTTCCCATTAACTTCTTCCTGCCAATTAAGCAACTACAAAAATGGTGACAGATTTATTGGTATTACCAACCATAATGGCTGCTGGAATCACCCGCTCTGCACCCCCAAGTACTGAGTTGCGGAGAGTACATGAGTACAGAAAGGGGGGGGGGATAATATAATAGCTAAAGAAACATAAGGTGTACAAGAGGGAGGGGGTGAGGCAAAAATGATATCGTTAGAATGGGTTGGAAAAGGGATTCAGCCAATCATGACTGCACAAAGAATATAGTAGCACATGGGATGGAATAAAAGGGGAGGTTTGAACGATACTCGAAGAGAGAAAGAAATATTAAAGGAAGGGGGGGGGGACGAGCGTTAAAGTAGCGATAATCTCAAAAACTCGCTTTTTATAGCGAAATGATACATAGTGGCTATTACCAACGTCGTTTACCGATTATTGATCTTCACGGACAAGTAGACTTAGTGGCCAGCTGCATAACTCATTACAAAAGCCACTGTTACAGGAGAATGAAGAAATCAAGGCTGGGAAAATACAGTAAATCGTTATTGACGGTCTCTTAACACCCTTTATGGGGTATTATAAACTTCGCATGCCTCTGACGATTTCCATTTCTTTCTTTTTTCTTCTTCTTTCTATTTTTCAATATTCGAATCGATCCCAAATTGGCAAGGAAAAAAAAATATTGGAGTTTGAATTTGGGGCAATGTGAATAAACAGTAGGCAAAAAAGCTTCTATAATATAATAATTAATGTGTCCCATTAGACGGTCAGTATTCTGAGTGAACTTAAATGCATTATTTTTTTTTCTGTATGCATAATTCATTCTTAAAATAAAACAGGAAAAGAAAGTTAATGTAGCAAGAATTTGAAGAGATCACACCATAAATTAATTGCTTTGGATCCTCAATTAAATACTTAACTAAGTTTCAGTTTCTGGCTATTCATACGAAAATTAGGTTTCTAAACAATCATTATTAACTTTCCCAAAGAAATCTGGTTCTCCTTTGATCCAAATAAAGTGGAATAACAAGGTTTAAAATTTGTAGTTTAGGAACTTTGAAGTATTTTAGAGTAGTATAATCCAATCCGATATCAAGGGTTTCCACTAGCCTTACTTTTTAATGTAACTATGCACAAATTCACGCAGCATTCATATGCAGACAATAGAAATATTTATGCTGTAATATGAAAATAAATTTCCTTGCTAGTGAAGTGAGAAAAAAAGAGCGGTCAAAAATATCAGAATATGGTAAAATTTACCATGTTTCTGGCTCTATTGAAACACCAAAAGGCCCAGTAATTTTAACCGAAGAGCTTTGGTGAAATTTGGTAATTATTTCATGGTATCTTAGAGCATGGCATACAAGCCATTTTACTCGATTAAATTTACTGCTTAATTTCGTATTTTTCACTGAATAAGTGGCAACAAGAACTATAAATTTGAAAACCATAATTTTCGATAAACCGTTCCCTATGAAAGGAGAAATTACCAATCAAATGGCTTTAATACCATTTTTTATGTCATTGGTATACAGCAAGGTAATTTTACCAGAATTTTTTTCGCCGTGTGGTACTTTTAAAACCAATATAAATATTTTCTTTTCTTTTTAAAAATTTTAGAGGTAGTATAATCTACAAAAATAAATCAAGGAAAATAAGCTATAAGTAAACTTTTACAGAAAACTCCTCGCATGAAATTTAGAAAATAAACAAATCAAATAACATAAATTGATATATTTTCCTTCAGATGCCCACGTGATCTCAATTTAAATAAAGCGTTTAAAATACAATCTGACAGCGTTTAAGTTTCTTTTTCTTTCTCTCAAAGCGCGGCATTTTACCCGATCCCACTGAAAGAAATTTCTATTATTTCCACCTTGATTCATCGGAGTTAACCGGACATTTCATCACGATTTCAGAAATGAAAGAAGATAATAGAGTTCTGCACCATTTTGTACTCCACGACCTGTTGATTCAAACACGGACACTTTCTAAAAATAACACCCACTCTTTCTCCCCGAGTAAAACGAAAAGAAAAAAATAAATAAATAAATGAACATATTTGCGAAACTGCATAAAGAATATATTTCGGTTGAATAACCATTCGAATGAAGATGGA